TACGCGTATATTTTTTGAATTAAATATGTCACACATATCTAACGGTTATATAATTATAATTTTAGAAGACCCACCAGATTGAGGGCCAGTATTTTCTAATTAACTTAGAATTTTCTAGCTTAATTTCCTTCCCTTTAATTAACCCATCAATCACTTTTTATATATAAATAGATAGATTGCAATCCATCAATTACACTATCAAATTGATAAAAAACGACGAGGGCTGTGATCTGGAAATATAGAGTCGAGATGTATCAACCTTTGTTAATTTGGATGGCAGACTATGAGATATAGGTGAACATAGATACATAAATACAATAATTAAATTTGCTAAACAGAGGGCTCCCGTGCGTTTCCAGCGCTGGGCGCCATTGCTCCGGTCAAGCGACATGTGTCCCTGGGTTTCAACATAGTTTTCTCCTGATTTTGTAGCTGTGTTTTCTCTGGACCGATCTGGTCGGTAGATATTTTCTTCCACTCCCGACCTATCCCACATTATCTAGAAAACTCCCGATTGTCGATCGCCCACATCCTCTCCCTTCCTTCTCCCACCTTCACACGTCCTTCACTTTCCTCTCAATTTCCCCCCTTCATTGCAGATAGGGCAAAGGAGCCACTCCGCTACACTTGCATGCCGGAAGATCAGGCGCGGCTTCCCGGCGATTAGTCGTTATTCCCCTCCTCCTCCTCCTCCTCCAAGAACACAACCTCCCATCTTCCTATTCCACTTCCCATGCGCAGCCTCCCCCAGCCCTCACGCGTGGCCGCTATCACGAGAGGCCCGAGCATGCCTCATCTGCCTCCCGCACGCACCATGGATGCGCACAGGACCAGCCACACCGCACCGGCAGCCTCTCCATCTTTTTTCCTCTCTTCCCTCCTCCCCCTTTACCCTTACGCCCGAGCTCGCGCATGAGCTCCACTTCAGCACCACCGGAGCTCTAAGCTGTACACCGGCGGTGGCTCGGGATGCTGGTGGCAAGGCTGAAGCAGGAGGCAACTGTGACATTACTGATGACGACCATCGACCTGGGCGCCCCTGCTCTGGGTGGTGTCGTTGCATACTCCGCTATAGCAGCTGTTCCTGGTGGAGGACGGCATGATGTACCTGGTGAGGACGGGGAAACTGATATATTCAGAAACTTTATCTGTTAGTTGCATCACAAATCAATGTAATAGCTAACTGACGCGTTTCTAATACACATCATATATCCAGGTATTATAAATATGGTAGCAAAAAAAATACAGGACATTATCTTTACACCTATGCAGCTGTCTCACATGAGTTTCATATTCCCTATGCAGCCACAAATTAAATAGCGATAAAAGAATCAGATCAGTAGCATGATAAGGAGCTGAAGGAAATCAGGTTCAGAGTATTTATTATTTAGTTTGGCAACCCATGTGGAACAACTTAGAAATGGCCGTACTTTATTTGTTGATAAATCAAATAGCTGCTAATTAGTAACTTCAACCCAACCTTTTTGGGCTTTCTACTTGGCAGGTCAATATCATTGCAAGAAAAGATTTTTCAGCAGAAGCTGAAACCTAAAGCAGTGCAAGGTTTGATATATTTTCGTAATTGGCTCGAAGAACAAGAGGTGAAAAAGAAGTGATCACCGAATGTCAGCCGATCTGCAAATGTATCGACCTGTTGTAACATCATTGGCACTACAGGGGAGAAGAGAAGTAGTGTATATATTTTTCATAAAAATTAATTATGTTGGGCAGTATGCTGGTCTGTAATTGGTATTATTCAGTTTTTTTTTGTAATTCCATATTGAACAGGCAGAAAAATTTATGGCATAATGCTAGGTTCCAGTTTACACACCGTGATGATATAGTTTATTTATTGTTATTAGAAAATACAATATGCGCAATGCATAGGTCTGCTTCCTATGTGTGGTTGTATTCACAAAATGGACAATTGATTGCTAATATTTTAATGTTCCTTCAATTCAAATTTTGAATGTCCCACGCTGCAATGTTTAATTGTTTACCAGTGAAAATTTATATTTGCAGTCAACCCCGATGATAGGATAGTTGGTGTTGTTTCTATTCCTTCCTTGTTTTTGTTTGCGTTTGATATACATGGCCAATAGCTCTCTGTTGAAAGGTTGGTGGTCCATCTTCCTGGCATCAACAAAGTTATCTTGCATGAGGAATTCTGATTCAACAGGGTGATTCAATATTCAAGGTACATAAAACAATGCTCACTGAATGGTTCATAGATAATCAAGAAAACGAAGGTGCTAGTTATTTAACATATTAAATTTTCCTTGCGAATGGACATCGGACTATTCTGATCGTATGATGCCTTGTGTTTATGATGCTGATCATGTTTTAGGATGCCTTGCATGGTTTCAACATTCCATTGTACATCCATGTGTCTAGTGATAGTGGGACTATTTTTCTGTCAAGACATAAAAGTACTAAATGTTAAAACAGGACGGTTTGGTTTGTACCTGTCTGTATTTGCTGCTTTAAGGTGGTCTGTAGAGATATTGTATGTT